TAAGGCAATAACATGACAATTTGATATTGTTTTATATAAAGAGTGAAAGAAAGTGCATAAAAACTGCTTAAATAAAAATTCATCTTTATGCTATAAAATATAACTTTATCAAAATATAAAACCAAAATTCATGTTTATAACTAGATATTACTTACTGATTTGTATTCATATAAATGATTATAAACCATTTAAACATAATAAACATATTAGAGCATTTATGACCCAATTAAATCTAGTCATATAAAATATACTAATACTTATAAATGTATACATGCAAACTAGAAGATCAAAACAACAATAAGATGTCATTATTGATATCAGTAAGCAGTCCTCGATAAGTGATGTCAAACTAAGCTCCTTACTCCATTCGATCAAAACAACAATTAAATCTAGTTTATATTTATACGCTAATATAAATTACATAATAAATACATAAATTATTATATGATACTTAAATCATTTCTTGCCTTAGGGAAAATTTTCCATAAATTTTTATAATTTCTCTACTATGGTCGAATATCATAGGTATCTCATTCCATAATTTTCAACTTGATTCAAGCACAAATTCAACCTTTAAACATCATTTCCATGCATCTACAATCAATACCATATTAAAATAAATCCAATTTCAATTTCATATTAGAACCCTAGCTTGGCCGAATTCAATATAACCATTTCTAATGGTTTTCATCACTTTTCAAGCTTGGAAATGGATAAACAACATCATAATCCAACCTTAGAACATCAAAATCTAACATCCCCTTCATCCACCCAATTCATGAAACTAAGGTTTCAAGCATGGAAATCATGAACAAATTGTACCAAATGATAGAGAATTTCATGTAGAAAAAAATTCTATTTCATGTTTTCTTCCAAAATTCTAATAAATTGGCTTGAAAAATCAAAAGCAAATATTCTTACCTTTGGAGAACTTCATGGCTTAGAGAAGAAAAATGAACAAAGTTCATTAAATGTCATGAAATTTGCAATTAAAAATATCTAATACACTTGGCATTAATATAATTAACATAAATTAAAAATTCATTTTAATGTTTAAAGACCTTTTTGCCCTTGAAATCTCATGTAATTTATCATGAAACCTATTCATTTTATTCAACATAAGGTAAAAAACAAACCAACACATTGATAACTTCCAACTTTGCCCTTGTATTTTTCCAAAATCACAATCTTGTCATTTTTCATCCAACGATCATTGTTTAACATGGAAAATCAACTTAAATCCAATGGTCCATGTTAAATCCTTACATATTAAGGCATGTAAATGAAATTATTAACCTTCTATCATCCTTCAAAATATCTCGAATATTTAATTCAATCTAATTATCTGAATTTTTCTTGAACTTTATTGTTTTATAGCAATTAATACAAGTTCCGAACGAAAACTTCGAGTAACACAAAAAGGTCATTATTGGGGGTAAACAATTCATTTATAGGATAAAATTTCTTTTAATAAAAATTACTACTTTGATCCTTAAACTTTTTCAAAGTTTACACTTCGGTCCCAAAGTATGATGGAATCTAAGACCACCCTTATTAAGTGGCTGACAAAGAACATCCCAATTGATCAGAGGAATTTTCTTGATCGAGGGTTAGAGCCTCGAATGAACCGTTGTATAATTTTATCAATTTCTGAACAAACACTAGAGGGGAGTTTAGCCGTTTGCTTGAAGTATATAAGGATCACAACCAGGGTTTCAAATCGCGGTCGCGGTTGCGTTTTCGGTTTTTTCGGATTTACCGTGATTGCGGCCGTCGAGGGCGCTATTGCGGCCGTCGCGGACGCTATTGCGGCCGTCACGGGTAACTCGGACATCGACGAAACTACTATATCGCGGCCGAAATCGCAGTCGCGGACCGTTTTTTAAAACCCTGATCACAACAAGAACATATTTGGCAATGTTAATTCAGCCAGACATAAAGAGGGTACGAGTAGCCCAACCACTTAAATGAGTCTTCATTCAATTTATAATAAAATCATAGTGAGAACGACAAATACGACCATGAATGATTGGCCTTCAAATTATTCCCCAAGGTATCAACCGCTAATAACCTAGAAGAGAACTTATAGAGTCGCAGATTCTTTCCTGTGTTAAAAGAGAAATAAATATGAAACTTTCGACTGCTGACTCTGTGACCAGAGAAGTTTTGAACTCAGTCAAAACCCATGCAATAAAGCAAGTTTGGTGTTAGCCTTACAATAGAGAATGAGATCATCGGTGAAAAATAAATGGGAAAGAGGCAAACCATTACGAGCAAAAAAAAAAGGCTTCCAAAATCCTGCAGAAACCATACGACAAATGCTATGTCCAAGTTTCCCCATGACAAGCACAAAGATGTAAGAAGAAAGGAGGTCTCCTTGGTGGATGCCCCACTCAAGACTAAAAGGGAAGGCAAGAGAGTCATTCCACTAAATTTGCATGGAAGAAGAAGTAATGGAACACACGATAGTTTGAGTAATCTGAGGGGGAAAGCCAACATCAAGAAGAGTTTCATGGATGAACTCCCATTTAACTTCGTCAAATGCCTTCTCTAAATCCACCTTAATAGCCATCCATCCCTGCTTAGATTTCTTATTGTGTATGAAATGAATAATTTCTTGGTTTAGAATGATGTTCTCCATGATGGACCTCCTAGAGATAAAGCTAGTTTGGGCTGGGTGAATAAGATGAGGCATAATGGGCTATAATCTACGAAGAATGATCTTGGTGATCAGCTTATGAAGGACGAAACACAGGCTAATCGGATGAACGTCATCCATTGTTTGCAGAACATCAACCTTAGGGATGAGAACAATGATGGTTCTATTGAGAGAATGCTTAATCAGATTACCCATGAACACACTTTGGACCATACAATAGAAATTATGACCAACAATTTGCCAATTCTTTTGATAGAACTCTACATGAAGCCCATCAAGACCATGAACTTTAAGTGGAGCCATGTCAAAGAAAGCAACACATATTTCATCCACATTAGGAATGGTTTCAAGGCTAGAAAATTCTTTCGGGTCCAAAGAAGAAAAACATCCTGAACGACGAAAGGCGCCTCTGCTGGCCTCAATGTTAGGGTAGAGGTTCTAGAAGCAGTTTGTGGCCTTGATTTTAAGCCTCTCTTCATCATAGCACCAATCATTATCACCAGGCTTGAAAGAGGTTATTCGGTTCTTAGCCTTGCATCGGTTAGCCTTTTGATGAAAATACTTTGTATTTTTATCACCACTGGTGATCCAATCAGCTCGAGAATTTTTCTTTCAAAGGGTTTTTTACTGGTCAATCAAAAAATTCCAGCTTAGATTGAAGGCTAAATTCGAGAGAGGATAGGGAAACAAGGAAACAATATGTCTACATGCAAGAGCCTTTTGAACCCCTCTAAGACGAGCTTTAATATAACGCTTCTTGGAACCTATAGAACCATAAATATTATTGTTCCAAACATTGACAACAGTCGTGAAGTCAGAGATAGTGTCGGATAAGCTAGGGGATGACTTCTAGTTATCAAGAACGATCATTTCAAAGTCATCAAACGAAAACCACCCCGAGAAGTACTTGAATTGATGGGGAAAATAACTTCTATAAGGTTGTTCAGTATAGAGGAGAAGAGATCGATGATCCGAACGAACCAGAAGAAGATGATGGACAAAAGCTTTAGGGAAAAGCTCGTCCCAATGGGAATTGCAAAGGACACAATCAAGGCGAGTTTATGCATGGCCTTGATTCCAAATAAAGTCAGGACCTTGAAAGGCCAAATCTCTAAGACCATAATTGAAAATAAAACAATGAAAGTCCTTACTTGTTCCAGTAGCGACAACACAACCCTTTCGATCAGAGAAAAAGAGAGTAGCATTAAAGTCCCCAAGAAGAATCCAAGGGGAGTTTATAATTAAGGCCAAATAGTCAAGGTGATGCCAAAGAAATTTTCTTTTAGGGGCAGGCGGGCTAGCATAAATGAGCATAGACAAAACAGGAGATTGGTTCCTGACGTGAGTGATGTGGAAGTGAACAAAACTGGAAGTGATTTAAAAAGACATCAATGCGAACCATATTGTACCAACAGAGCCAAATTCCACTAGAAAACCCTTGGTCTTCAAATTAATTAGAATGAGGAAAACCAAGAGAAGAAATAACTTAATCAACTTTGAAGCTACTAATTCTTGGTTCAACAAACTTAATAACATCAAGTCTAGAATCCCGAATATAATACTTAGCAGTAGTCAGAAACTTTGGGTCCCCACAAACCTAAACATTCCAAATGAAAAACTTCATTATCATGAAAATAATTGTTAATGAGGGAGAGAAAAACCAAACCATCAATCAATTATCATATCTGTCCTACTCTCCATAGAAAGGTTCAATGAAGACTTTTCTGAGGCTCACTGAAAAATCACCAGAGTGGATTGCTTGGGTTGATTCGAAGATTGAACAGATGTACCTTAGAGTAGGGAACTTTAAGAGTCGTCATGTGGTTTGTTAGGTTTAGACGGGGCGGGAAAGGACAAAGGTATGTCAAAGTTAATCACCTTATTAGGATTGACATTTTCATGAATTTTGATCACACACTGCTTCGAAGGGTTTACAGGAGATGCAATGTTAACCGTTGAGATGTCCTTTAGTGCTCGACTTGAGTTGGAACTTTGATGAGGAGTAACCGAGATAAATTTAGAGGGCTCAACTTGTGGGTGGATGTGATGAACGAGATAATGAAGAAGAGAAAAGAAAGAGATTTCAGAGGAGAAGCAGAAAGGGTTTAAGAAATTCTGAATTCATTTCAAGAAATGATGCATAATCCTTCCTTTTCCAGGTACAATAATTTTATACCGTGTACTACCAAATCTAATAAGCCAGCTGGCTTAGATTCTAACTAATTCTGTTACTGCATATTATCTTAGGCTTGGTGGACTTCTCTGTTGGGCTCAAGGCTGCTGGGTCTTCAAATATTAATGGGTTTAATGACCCGTGCTCCTCACGTGACCTTTACTATCATCAGGTAACAATCCCAATTCCTTCAGCAATCCCTAACCCTCGTTTATCATTTTCCCCAATTCTCTCTTCACCTCCCCGAACGTCCTCTCCTCCTTCCTCATCTCCTTCTCCAACCATGACAATACCCGCTGCTGGAGCAGATCCTTGTCCCCAAGGATCAAAGTTAGGAAACTGTCCCTTAAGAACAGTATAGTCCTCCCAAGTATCGCACGAATCATCTAGATTTTTCCATCTCACCAACAACTGAGTAACAGGTTTGTGTTTCCTGTTAACAATTCTTCTTCCCATGACTTGCAAAGGTTCAATTTTAATTTCACCTTCCTCTGTCATGTCAGGAGGATCCGTAGAAGAAGGGGCTAACTGTCCCATGTGTTTCTTCAAAAGACTCACATGGAAAACGGGATGTAACCGTGATGTCTCAGGTAAAGCCAAACGGTAAGCAACCTCACCAATCTTTTCTGTAATTTTGTAAGGGCCATAGTATCGGGCTGCTAGCTTTAAGTTTTTACGCAGAGCCAATGTTGTTTGGCGATAAGGCTGTAATTTCAGGTACACTTCCTCTCCCACTGCAAATTTCTTTCTGATCGTTTTTTATCAGCTTTTTGTTTCATGCGATTGGCTGCCTGTTCTAAATTAAATTTGACTAGTCTGCGAATGTCATCTCTAGTCTTCATTAATTTACTGACAGAATGCACTGGTGAGTCTGATTGCCATACCATTGTAGGAGGTGCATATCCATATAGAGCTTGAAATGGTGTCAACTTTAGGGCTGTATGATAGGTGGTATTATACCACCACTCTGCATGAGATAACCATTTAGCCCACTGCTTTGGTTGGGAGAAACACAACCCTCTTAGATACTGTTCAAGACACTGATTCACCCTTTCACTTTGTCCATCCGTCTCTGGGTGGTAGGCAGTACTAATAGAGTCTTAGTACCTAACTTCTTCATTAGTTCTTTCCAAAAAAGACTAGTGAAGGTTTATCTCTGTCTGAAATGGCCACTTTAGGCTGGCCATGCAACTTATAAATGTTGTCTAAGTAGAGTTTAGCTACTTCAGCAGCAGTATAAGGATGTGATATTGCCACAAAATGACTGTATTTTGTGAACTTATCCACCACCACTAAGATACAGTTCTTCTTCAAAGAAGTATGTAAACCTTCTATAAAATCCATAGTGATAATTTCCCAGGCCTGTTGAGGAATAGGCAGTGGCTGAAGTAAACCAGGTTTAGCAACATGCTCCACTTTAGTTTGCTGACATACTGGACAAACCCTCACATAAGTAGCCACCATTGCCTTAAGTTTAGGCCAATAAAAGTAACTTCTAATTCTTTGATAAGTGGCCTGAGTTCCTGAATGACCTCCATGAGGTGAGTCATGTAAAGTTTGAAGAATCTGTAGCCTAAGAGAGCCTTTAGTACCAATATAGACCCTATCTTGAAATCTGAGAATTCCTTTGGAATATTTCCACTTAGAATCAGCATTAGGAGACACAGTCAGAATAGAAATCCACTCAGTAGCCAAGAAATCATCCTTGTAACTCTCCTCCACTTCTTGTACCCAAGTAGGAATAACTAGAGTAGTTCCCATGACAAGACACTGAGCTTGGTCTTCCCATTGCCTGGATAAAGCATCTGCCACAATATTGGATATACCTTTCCTGTATTGGATAGTGTAATCCAATCCCAATAATTTTGTCAGCCCCCTTTTTTGAATAGCAGTAGTGAGTTTCTGCTCTAATAAGTATTTTAAAGGCTCATGATCAGTTTTGATGATAAAAGGTTTGCTCTCTAAATAGTGTCTCCACTTGGAGACTGCTAATAAAATAGCAAGGTATTCCTTCTCATAAATAGACATAGCAGCATGGCATTGACTGAGAGCTTTACTTAGAAATGCTATAGGTCTGCCTTCCTGTGATAAAACAGCCCCTATGCCTCCAGAACTAGCATCAGTCTCTAAATAAAAAATCTTAGTAAAGTCTGGTAGAGCTAACACATGTGCCAAACACATAATTCTCTTCAGTTCTTCAAAAGCAGTCAAAGCTGCACTGTTCCATTTAAAACAATCCTTTTTCAGCATCTGAGTTAAAGGTTTACTAATTGCCCCATAATATTTTATAAATCTTCTATAATATCCTGTCAACCCCAAAAATCCCCTCAATGATTTTAAGGATTTAGGTAAAGGCCAATTTCTCATTGCTTCTATCTTGCTAGGATCAGTAGCAACACCAGCAGCTGAAATAATATGGCCCAAGTACTCTACTTGGGTCTGACCAAAGAAACACTTAGATAGTTTTGCAAATAGTTGATTACTTTGCAAAACATCCAAAACTAATTGTAAATGCAGAATATGGTCTGTCATAGAACTGCTGTAAACCAATATATCATCAAAAAACACCAAAACAAACTTCCTAAGGAATGAACTAAATAATTCATTCATCAAAGCCTGAAATGTTGCAGGAGCATTAGTTAACCCAAAGGGCATTACCTTAAATTCATAATGACCCTGATGAGTTCGGAATGCTGTTTTATAAATGTCCTCCTCTTTAATTCTGATCTGCCAATAACCTGACCTTAGATCAATTTTTGAAAAGTAGACAGCCCCATGTAGCTCATCCAATAAATCCTCAACAACAGGAATAGGAAATTTATCCTTAATTGTCATGCTGTTCAACTGCCTATAATCAACACAAAATCTCCAAGTACCATCCTTCTTTTTAATGAGAAGGCATGGAGAAGCAAAAGGACTTTTGCTAGGTTGAATAATAGAGAAAGATAACATAGCAGCAATTTGTTTTTCCACTTCAGCTTTTTTATTATGAGGAAATCTGTATGGCCTTAAATTAACAGGCATAGAATCAGGCTTTAAAGTGATAGTATGATCATGAGTTCTTGTAGGTGGAAGACCTGTAGGCTTAGCAAAAATAGAATTGTATTTTTCCAATAATGGTTGAATAGTTGTAGGAGTAGGTCTTGAACTTTCTGTCATATTCATTAAAACAGCATACCCCAATAAAGCAGAATTTGAAACTGTCATCTTTAATAGTGTAGCTCCTGAAATCTGTTGCAAAAAATTCGAGGGCTGTTGGCCATTGATAACAATCTGTTCATTCTGATGTACAAAACTGAGTGTCAGTTTATTAAAGTCCATTAAGATAGGACTGACTAACTTCATCCAATCCACACCTAGGACCATATCACTTCCCCCTAACTGCAGAAGTCTAAAATCATGAATAAAAGAATGTCCCTGCATTTGCCATTCCACCCTGTTACACCTAGCTGTACTGAAAAGCTGTTGTCCATTAGCCACTGTAATAGCTAAAGGATATGGTGTAGTTACCTGAATTCCTGCATCAGCCCACTGAGGTGTTAAAAAACTGTGGGTGCTACCACTGTCAATTAATATGTTCAATGGCCTGCCTAGAATAGTGCCTTGAATCCTTAGTGTATTATGACCAATACACCCAGTGATAACATTCATAGAAATTTCTAGGCTCTCCTCATCTTGTAACACTTGCTGTTCTAATTCATTTGGTAAAGTTTCTGAAGATAAAACAGGTTCGTCCTCAATCATCATATTCAATTGCTTTATCTTGCATTGATGCCCTGGAGAGAACTTTTCACCACACTTATAACATAGGTTGTTTTGTCTCCTGTACTCCAACAAATTTTGTTTTGGAGGCAGATTAGGTGAACTTTTCTGTTGTGGATTTGAGAAATTAGGTTTATTACTAGGTAATGGGTTTGGGTAGGGTGGGTTTCTAAAAAATGCTCTCCCTCTTTTATTCTCATATTCCACCGAAAGCTCATATAGTTTAGCTTGTCTGCAAGCTTCAGAGAGTGTCTTTGGCTCCAAAACCTTAACTCTATGCTTGATATCTTCTCTTAATCCACTAATAAAAAGAGAGACAAAAAACTCTTCACCCAGAGTAGGATTCTGTAACAGCATATGAGGCTGCAATTCTTCAAACCTGTCCTGGTATTCCTCTACTGATCCCTTCTGCACTAACTTTGATAATTCCTCAACTATGTCAGCAAAGTACCTATCACAAAATCTATGGCAAAGATCTGTGTCAAATTCATGCCATGTCACATGATGTTTCTGCATATTATACCCATCAAACCAAACCTCTGCTTTCCCAGTTAGGTACATAGTGGCTACTTCTATTCTCTGCTCATTAGGAACATTACACAGAGAGAAATATTTAAGACATTTTTGAAGCCACCCCCTAGGATTAACCCCTTCAAAAAATGGAAACTCAATTTTAGGCCTATGCCACATAGACCCTGAACTTATAAAAGAACTTCCTGGACCTCTTCTTTCAGTTTCAGACCCCAACAATTTAGGTCTAGATTCACTATTTTCACCTAACTGATTCCCATTTTTTAAGACCACACAATCATCAGGTTTTGCTTTTAATATCCCAGGCTCATCCGGTTTATAAGTGAATCTTGATTTATCTTTTACCACAGTCACCAAAACAGGACTTTGTTCTCCATTTTTAGAAGCATTAGAAGTTTGTACCTGTTCCCCACAACATTTTCCTGCTGCCTGTTAGAATCTTCAACAACTCTTCAACATAGCTTTGATTAGTAGCCATTCTTGATTCCATTGCTGTGATTTTGTTTTCCTGCACTTCCCACCACTTAGGCGGATTAGTCTCGTCCCTTCCTTGCTTCACTAATGCTGTTAAATCCTCCATCTGTTTCTGCAGGCCTGATAGATCAGCTTCATTCATGTTTTGATTCTTCTTTGTCATGCCCTTTGCTTGCCAGAACCGAGGCTCTCGATACCAATTTGTGATGAACGAGATAATGAAGAAGAGAAAAGAAAGAGATTTCAGAGGAGAAGCAGAAAGGGTTTAAGAAATTCTGAATTCATTTCAAGAAATGATGCATAATCCTTCATTTTCCAGGTACAATAATTTTATACCGTGTACTACCAAATCTAATAAGCCAGCTGGTTTAGATTCTAACTAATTCTGTTACTGCATATTATCTTAGGCTTGGTGGACTTCTCTGTTGGGCTCAAGGCTGCTGGGTCTTCAAATATTAATGGGTTTAATGACCCGTGCTCCTCACGTGACCTTTACTATCATCAGGTAACAATCCCAATTCCTTCAGCAACCCCTAACCCTCGTTTATCATTTTCCCCAATTCTCTCTTCACCTCCCCGAACGTCCTCTCCTCCTTCCTCATCTCCTTCTCCAACCATGACAGTGGACTGAGAGAGGCTTCATGTTGGGTAACACAACTTTGGGTTTGTTGACTTTGGGAACATATAGGGATTTTCCCTTGCCAGAATTGTTAACTTTTAGTTTTTGGATGGGGGAAAGGAAAGAGCTCGACTGATCAATAGCGCTATCAGGATGAGAATTTGGGGTTGGTTGGTCATTATCTGAAACTTTGAAAAGAGGATTAAAATGAGAGTCATTGTTAAAAGCTTGCTTAATATGTACACCAGTCCTAGAGGGCTTAGAGTAATTGCGTCGCTGTTTCTTTCCAAAGAGTATCTAGGGGCCAAATTAGAGTTGTCCGGGTCAAACACAAGAGGAGCAAGAACTTTCAAAGGAGCAGGATCGACAGGGGAAGATTTGAGGTGCAAATTTTTTTGACATGTCAATACCTCATACATTCAAAGCAAACAGTAGGGAGAGCCTCGTATTCGACCATTTAAACACGCCTATTTATCAAGATTTTCAAAATCAGAGGTTTTTCAAGGTCTAAGGTGATAGCCATGCGGGCAAAGCAACCTCTACGACCACACTTTGTCTGATAGTCAAGTTTAAGAATCGATGTCCTTATACAATGAAATAAAGGTCTCCTTGATTGTTGCAAATGAAGGGTTATTAACAGAACCATCCATAATAGTAATATTAGAGTTATCTTTATCATCATGTGCCTCAATGGATGCAAGATTCTCCAAAACCGTTGTATCTATTTGAGGATCCTTTTCCTCCATTGGAGACGTGGCGTCATCTGGTGGTTTGTCTACGAAGTGTCGCGACTTCTTGATGAACCAACCATCGTCTGATGAAGGCTTAGTTAGACTTTGGGATTCGACAAGAACTTCTGAGAAGATAGGAGCGGTCATTAGGGCAAAGAATTTTCTATTTTATCTTTAATTATTTGAGTGTATGTTTAAAAAAATTATATTTAAATATTTAAAAAACTTAATATTTAAATGAAGGATTGAAATTATTTAAATGAAGGATTGAAGAAATTTATGGTCAAAATTATTTATTTTGAGTTGTTAAAGATAAGTCTTGTATTTGATTGTATCCATTTTATTACGACAATTAAAGAAAGTTTAGGATATTAAAATTTTCTAAACTTTATTCTCCTGTGAAATAAATTACAATAAAGATTTTCTAAATTCTCCATGCCCTGGGGTTGCCTGAAAAATTCATTGGTTGGATTTGTGCTTGTTTCACTGATCCTAGCTTTTCAATTGTGTTCAATGGGAAACTTGTTAGCTATTTTAAGGGTGCTAGAGGAGTTAGGCAGGGTGACCCTCTCTCACCATACCTCTTTGTCCTAGCAATGAATGTCCTATCTAACTTGCTGAATATAACTATTTTGAAGGGAGTTTTCAAATTCCATCCTAAATGCAGGAAGATAAGCCTAACTTATCTATGTTTTGCTGATGACCTCATATTCTGTAAGGGCACTATAGATTATATAATTGGTGTGCAGTCTGTCTTAGATGTTTTCTACTCATTCTCAGGGTTGAAGCTTAATGCTAGCAAGTGTGAAATGTATACTGCTGGAATCAATGCTGAGCAGTGTGCTTTTATCCAAGAGGTTACTGGCTTTAAATCAGGGACTCTCCCAGTGAGGTACCTTGGAGTTCCTTTGGTGACAAGAAAGATTGCAGTGAAGGACTGCCAATGTTTGATCGAAAAGATTAGGGCTAAACTGAACTCGTGGGCTAATAGCCATTTAAGCTTTGCTGGTAGGCTGCAGCTTATTCGCTCTGTCCTTTTTAGTATAGCCAACTATTGGTGCAGACAGATGATTCTCCCTCAATCTATAATCAAGAAAATTGAGCAGCTATGTTCCTGGTTCTTCTTGAAAGGAGCTGACCTGTCTGCTAGTGGTGCACGAGTCAGCTGGAGGCAAGTTTATCTTCTGAAATCTGAGGGGGATCTGGTATTATTGATATAGGGGGTTGAAATAAGGCTTGTATAGGGCTTTTGATCAAGAAACTACTGGCTAATGATGGCTCCCTTTGGGTGGCATGGATTCGCTCGTATATGATTAAAATTTTGAATTTCTGGCAGATAAGCATTCCTTTAAATGCCAGTTGGTGCTTCAAAAGATTATTGAAAATGAGTCATGAGGTGTCATAGCTACTTGCTGGCACAGATAATGACCTTAGCACAAGGGGAATATGGGAGGAGTTGCGCATCCAGGGCCCCAAGGTCTCTTGGCATAAGTTGGTTTGGTTTCCAGGGCGTATCTTGAAGTAAATCACCATTTTGTGGATGGCCATCCTAGATTGTCACATCCTCAATACCTGGTTGGTGATTAAATTGTAAAATTTTAGAATTTGGGGATAAAAGTAGGATAGTTGAGTAGTTTAATGATTTATGTGTAGATATTTCCTTAAAGTTGTTAGTAATTATTAAAGGAATTAAAGGGAAAAATGGTCATTTGACCAGAAAGATATTTTTCCCCTTAATAAATATGAATCACTTGAGGGTGGGGAAAAGAGTTATCTGAAAACTCTTTCTTCTTTCTTCTTCTTCCTCTCCTCCCGTGAAGGCTCCAAGGCAAAGGTGAGTTTTCTGGTTAAGCAATTAATTGTTGATTTTATGAGTTAGTTTTGATCATTAGATGATAACTAAGCTTAAGGAAAGCTTAAGTTATCTTAAAATCAAAAGATAATTGAGTTAGAGGAGATTGAAGAATTGGATTTTTTAAGTGAAATTTTGAATAAGAAGGTTTATATGAATTTAGAGGATGAATTTGACTTGTCATCTATGAGAATAAGAAGCTAGAAGTGTTAGAATTATGTTTGGGTAACATGGAAAATTTGGTATGATTATTGATTTCTATATGGAGAATAGAATTTTGAGGTTTCAGATGAAATTAATGGGTATTAATTAGTTTAAGTATGTATATTTGAGTTAAGAATATTAAAGGAAGTGAAATAGGAAGTGTGGAGCTGAAAATGAAGTGATTCTCGAGCTTAAAACATGATTTCTGGGCTAGGGGAATCGGTACCCATTCAAAGGGGAATCGATACCCCCTCAACCGAACCATAAATTCCAGAATGTCTTTGGGGAATCGATTCCCCCACAGTAGGGAACCGATTCCCCCCTAAAAGAAAAAGTGATTATTGGGTTAATGAGTTCGGTTAAGTTTCTAGTATCAAATTACAAGGTGTAGGTATCTAATAATTACCTTAAAATGTATAATTATGTAGATTCAGAGTCTGAATGAGTTCCGAAATCATTGTCAAGTAAGATCGATCAAAGGGAAAGATAAGAGATTGGAATTGACTAGTGAGGCCAGGTGAGTGCATATTCAATAATATATAATGGGTGATGGGAAGAAGACTTACGATGAGTCTATTTCCTGAAGAGTTACATATGAATTCATGATTAAAGGCATGAGTTGAATATGAGTGTATGTATGCTTGATTATATGAATTGATATGTTTTGTATGTGTTATGTGGTTTATGTACAAACACTATTAAGGGTTAATGAGAGAATATCAAATAAGTTATGAAATTATATGAATACAGAAGATAAGTCAAGAGATGTAGGGAAATGGAAATAGAGGTTTATGAAGAATCATATGAGAATAAATATAAGTAATAAGATAATGAAATATAAGATTATGTGAATACATGGTTATGAGAATTAGTAAAATAGAGTTATTTGATTTAATGAGAATTGAGGAAACTAAATAAGATTGAATTATAGAATGGAATGGGAATAATATATCAATTAGGGTACTTGAACATAAAGCTATGATATGTATATATATATAGAATAAATTATATGCTAAAGATCTATGAAGTTATACGAAAAGGTTATAAGGAATATATGAAATTGAATTAATTAAATGGATTAAAGTAGTATATAAATAAAATACGATTAAGTGTAATATATATGTTTAGAAATACGACATAAGTTATATAATATAAGGGAATACAAAGAAATAAAGCATAAAGTAGACGAAATGAGATAAGTTATTATATACCTATATGATATATGTTAGCAGGTAATATGAAAGGATTCAGGAAACTTATATAAGCTATGTGAAAGTGATCTAGATGTTTATATGCGAATTATTCGGTAATAAGTTATATGAAATAAGTGTAGTGATTACCAGATCATAAAAGATAAGTCAGAGAATGTGAATAATATGACCAGAAACTATGAGTATGTGTGATGAAATGAATATATGAAAACATGACTATGAGATATGTGATAAGAAGTTGTGATTAAATGATCAAGAGATATAAGCTAAGGGATATCTGTGAATTACATGAAAATGTGCTATGTGTAAGTGAATTGCGTGATTATATGAATATGAAACCATATGCGAATTGATATGAACTACGTGATCACATGTATGTGTGAATAAAGCTACGAGCTTATATGAATATGTGATATTTTTTCATGAATATGTGCAAGGATATAAAAGATAGTGCCCATGTTATGTGTCTTGAGAGCTTTGGGGTATAGTTGGCATGCCAGGAGTCGAGGGTCTACGCGGTCCTTCGGGACATATAGGTATCCTATGGAACATCTATGAGGTCTTTTGCGACACGTATTTGGTCCTTAGCATATGTATATGATTCTTAAGGAATTTTCTACGGGGTCCTTCGGGACGTATATGTATTCTTTGGAGCATGTATGAGGTCTTTTGAGACACTTACTTGATCCTTGATATATGTATATGGTTCTTAAGGAAATTATATGTGGTCCTTATGGACAATCTTATGTGGCACTACGGTGCAAATTCTACGCGGCACTTCGGTGCAATTATACGAGCTGTGGTGACAACATTAGTGCACAACCTCTATAGACTCACATACCTATAGTTCTCACATATGTCCATGGACTAATCATGAGATAATAACAAATATATGTTTGTGATATGATAAATGTTGTAGAAATGATATGATGTTGTGTGTATATATATGGTTTGATTAAGGGGTTTAAGTATAAAAGTATGTGATTAAAAGATAAACCGTTAATGATACTTTATGTGTATGTAGGTATATTTTGTTAAGTAATCTGATATGATTTTGTATGCTATGATGAAAAAAGGTGATTTAGTATAGCATGATAGAATGAAACATGCATGCATTGTTAAATGTTATTAAGTGCATTATAAGTTTTATTTGTCTCACTAAGTCATCGACTTAGCGTGTGAGTGTTTCACACATAGGTTCCGGAAAGCTAGAAGAAAAGCTAAGAGAGCAAGACAGGTCAGCATATCCCTTACAAATTTCATATCAGAAAATAGATGATTTAAATGATTTTGGTTATTTTGAATATAATTGGCATGTACTAAAGGATTGAGTTAATATGCTCTGATTAATTTTAGTTAATGTGGTCAAGTTATGTAAATAAACTGCTTTTACTTTAATTAAAGTTTTAAATTTTCTTTGAATTTTGTCAAGAGTCAAAGTTTGAAAAGTCAATGTGACACCTCAGACTCGTATCCGGGTCGGGTACGAGTTGGGGGTGTTACATAGATAGACTACCTACTCGGACGAGACTTCTGTGAATGGGTCTGAATATTGATAATGATAAGTGCTTATTCTGTGGCACTGAGTCTGAGACTCGTAACCACTTATTCTTTGGATGTGGTTTTGCGAAAGAATTATGGGGGAATGTTCTTTCCTTATGCGGGATTAAACGCAGTGTAAGTGCATGGGATAGGGAGTTGGCATGGACTATTCAACTCCTTAAAGGTAAATCTCTTATTGTGTAAGTGTTGAAACTTGCTCTTGCTGGTCATGTGTATGGCTTATGGAGTGAGAGGAATAGAAGATTACTTGGGGGTAGAGCCAGGCTGGTGGGTGACGTAATGAATGACATCCGTGATACCATTCAGATCCGTCTTAGCGATTGGTCCATTTGAAGGGCTGATTCGAGGAATGCTGCCATCTGCGCAAGTTGGGGTATTTTGAGCTAGTGTGCTTTTGTTTCGTTTTCTAGTTGATTCCAGTTATTGTTATTCTGCTGTTTATGTAGCATATTGTTCTTTGTAGCAGGATTTCCTGCTTTCTTGGGTAATGAAATGGAATTATCCAAATTTTTTTCTTTCTAAACTCATATGACCAATTAATGTTTGATACAATTATAATACATTACAATTCTATAAAAATTGAGTTTAAAAATTTTAGAAACACCATTATTAGGAAAGAAAGACATAAATTTTAAACGTAAACTATAAAACATGTACGAGAGAAAAATAATTATATACCCTTAAAAGTCATTTTCAATGTAAAATTAATTAATCAACCTCAATAATCAATATGATATAAAACTTAATTATTTAGTATGAAATAATATTATTTTAATAATTTTAAAATTGAATCAATCAAGTAGATTTAATGATAAAAGAATAGCATTCTTTTAATAATCTTTTAAAAAGAAAACAAGGTCAGAGTCGGTGGAAATTTATCATGTTATATAACATAATTTCTTTATATATGGAAATGAGACAGAATTGTTGTAAAATTAAGAAGTAAATATTACGCACCAATCAAGTGACTTCGTAATAAAATAAATTATTGTTATTTTTTTGGGATTTTAAATTTAAGTATTAAGTATACTAGTAACACGAGCATTAAATATTATAAAATTTAATAAAACAACACCTTAAAATCAAAATACTATTTATATATTTTATCCTAAAATTTAATTTAATGGTCAAAATAGAATTGTACGTAAGGGTGTTCATTCGGTTAATTCGGTGGTCGAACCGACCGAACTACTATTTTCGAATTAACCGAACTTTTTTTTTTCTTTAACCGTTAACCGAACCGAACTTTTTTTCGAAAATATTAACCGAACCGAATAAATTTCGGTTAATTCGGTTACTTTTCGAATTAACCGAAATTTTTTAGAATTTTAGAATTTAATATTTTTTTAATTAAAAAAACAATTTACAATTAATTTAAATAATATCTAATTATAAATAATATCTAATTAATTTGATTCAAACATTTTGCATTTAGTTTTGATATTATTTTAATTAATTAATATTGATTTGGATTTTAAATGGATTGGACCTCTTAATATAATTATATTTAAAGGTTAATTCGGTTAATTAACCGATTTCGAACCGAATTAACCGTTAATCGAATTCTAAAAACATCCTTAACCGTTCTCCGATCGAATTAACTAAACTAATTCAATTCGTTCAATTAATTTAGTTAAAACCAAATTTTAAACACCACTTATTATACGCATAGTTTTTTGATATCGAATAAAATTTCCCTATTCTTTTAGCAGAGAGAGAGAGAGAGAACAGGAATAAAGCATTTTCTGGGTATCTACACACTAATCCATTATATGTGGCTAGAAAAACTCTCACTAGATTTCCTCTTTTTCGCATCTTCGCTCGTTATCTTTCTCTCTTTGAAGTAAACGAAATTTGTTTCTTATTTGTGATAACGACTACTTCCATGGATTAAATTGAACTGTTTTAACTTCTTTCTCATCCAACAGTTGAATTAAAAAAAATAAATAAGAAAAACACTTTTCAAAATGCAAAGCCCTTCTGCAATTACCCAAGAATCGGGCCCTGCCTTCGACCTCGTCACTCAACTGTGTCACTCAGCATTCAACAAGAGTTTTCAAAGCTTAAATTCTGATGGGTTTCATTCATTCAAGCCGAATCACGTGTATTTTTCTGGGTTCAGAGACTCGGTTTCTCACAAAAAGCGTATCGTGACAGCTGCTGCTTCACTCGGTTTGGGTGCTAAAAACAGCGTTAGGAGAATCGTGAATGAATTTAATAGAGCGATTAAATTTCACTGTGATAGAATCCCAATTGGGTTTGCTTCTATTCGGTTTGGTTCAGAGGAGAGCAATGGAGTGAGAAAAGGCGGCGGCGGCGTTCTTGAGATTGAAGGTTTGCCTTTGAATGGGGTGGAAGCCGAGACCCCCAAAAAGGTTCTGATTTTGATGAGCGATACTGGTGGGGGTCATAGAGCCTCCGCTGAAGCTATTAAGGCTGCTTTTAACGAGGAATTTGGGGACGAGTATCAGGTCAGTTAACTTTTGTTTGGTAGCTAAGAAAATGCGGGCATTGGAAAAAGTTACAGATTAAGAAAATTTGCTTCTTTTATCACTACTTGCAGTGTTAGTTTTGGTTTGACTAACTGGACTACATGAAAGACCGCATTTTTCAATTTTGTTTGCCTTTTATGTTTCTTCAATTTCTTGGCAAATGGTAAAGGGTAGGAGTGAGTATTGATCGAGTCAAGTAATTTTTTCTCTGAGTTATTTAAATTGACCGGTCGTATTTTATAACTCAAATTTTATTTGAATTCTTTTCCTAGACAAATTTATATAATTCAAGTGGAATTTAGCTGAGTTGTTTGAATTTATGTTTATGTTTATGTTTAATTGTAAATATATCATGCAAGAGTCCTCGAAATTGAAAACCAATTCACTGATAACTAAAAGTTCCGAGTCCTATTTCATAACTTGGCTCAATTTGAAATTGTTTGAGTCAAGTTTGTGAAATTATGGGTCAAGTAGAGTTGAGTTCTTTTTAGCATCAAATCAAATTGAAAAATTCGGTTTTTTCCAAGTTGATTCGAGTTTTGCTCATCCTAGTAAAAGGATTAGTGGGAGCTTATTGTTTTCAGCTTACCTTTGCTCTATATGTTAAGAGTGGCAAATTGCAGGTGTTTGTTACAGATTTGTGGACCGATCACACTCCCTGGCCATTTAACCAATTACCAAAGAGCTATAACTTCTTGGTCAAACATGGATCATTGTGGAGATTAACCTATTATGGAACCGCTCCTCGGGTGATTTATCAATCGAATTTTGCTGCAACTTCAACATTCATAGCTAGGTGAGAATCTATTGTCGATCTGCTTTTTATAGTCTTCATATTATGTTGTCGATATGCGAATGAATCGGAATATAGTATCTCAGCCTTGCAACAAATTAGTTATATGATTTCGATCTCCATTCCTCTAACGCGGATGTGTTTTGTTTATTCTATGTTCTTATGATAGAGAGGTTGCCAAAGGGTTGATGAAATACCAACCTGACATTATTATTAGTGTACACCCTCTGATGCAACATGTGCCACTTCGTATTCTTAAGGCAAAGGGTCTATTGAATAAGATAGTCTTCACCACGGTGGTAACCGATTTAAGCACTTGCCATCCGACATGGTTAGTTCTGCATCTTAGTTTTCATGCTTCGAAATCCGCTTATTCTCGGTGTAATTGTTGTGATGCTTATTCTTGTTTTAGGTTTCATAAGCTTGTAACAAGATGCTATTGCCCAACAGATGATGTTGCCAAAAGGGCATTGAAAGCCGGACTCCAACCATCCCAAATAAAGGTCTATGGCCTTCCAATACGACCTTCTTTTGTGAAGCCTGTTCGGCCAAAGGTTGGCTTACCTTTTAAACTAATGATTTTATATTTTTCGTTTCTCTAGGATGATTTTATTCTATGAAAACTATTGTCCCAAACTTTTGCACACAGGTAAAGAAAGTCTTGATGCAACAAATTCATTGTATTGCGATTCGGCAATTTTTCTTGTTCTTTTTGCTGGTTTTTGTAACACCACTTGTTCTTTTCATGTGTTATAGCAATTATGTGTGGCTTTAATATCTCCGTTGATATCTATATTCATCTTCCATTGTCTTATCGGATCAATCGATACTGACAATTTTGATAATGTAGATTGAGCTTAGGAGAGAATTAGGGATGGACGAGTATCTTCCTGCTGTTTTGTTGATGGGAGGAGGGGAAGGAATGGGGCCCATCGAGGCTACTGCCCGTGCACTTGGCAATGCATTATACGATGAGAACCTTGGCGAGCCATTAGGTCAAATCCTTGTCATTTGTGGCCATAACAAAAAACTTGCTAGCAAATTGCGGGTAATCGATTGGAAAATTCCCGTCCAGGTATCGACTTTTCTTTGATGTTTTAATCCCAAGTAACTTTGCACAGCTAAGTTTTCTATGTATAATTACTATCCATGCCTTTTTCAAGAACCATGAGAAGACTTGTGATGATTTGATTCTAAATTCTGACAAATTTCTATCGCATATATGCATTAAACACGCCGAACAATATTATTAACGTTATGATTTAGGGAAAAAGGTTTATGCAGGCAACTGATAGTTTTGGAATTTTTCCAAATCTTATAGGTGAAGGGATTTGTCACCAAAATGGAGGAATGCATGGGTTCTTGTGACTGTATTATCACAAAGGTAACTTTCTAAATGGAAGACATAATATACGGATGTGTGTAATACATTTCTTGATATTGCTTGATTTTCGCTTCAATAGGCGGGCCCTGGGACTATTGCTGAGGCTATGATACGAGGTCTTCCCATCATTTTGAACGGTTTCATTGCCGGGCAGGTAAGTTTCCGCTCTCTTTTTCACTTTTACATGTGAGCTTTCTGAAGTAGATTCGATATAGATTGTTTTCGGGAGGGAACTTCAATACTTTTACTAGGTTCTAGCTTTATTTTATAATCATAATCGTGAAGATGCAACATAATAAATTAGTAAGTTGACCACATTATATAGCTAAACTAGGCTAAAGGATCATGAAATCCAAATTTCCTTCTTTTTTTTTCATTCACCCTGTTGATTTCATTTATCAGCTGCAAGTACTAACAGTCAAATAAGCCCCAGTTTTGGGTTATTTAACTTTCGGGATTAGACAGTCGATGTGAGCGGTGCAAAAGAAGCTTGCGACTGGGTCTTTTAACTTTTGCCAAAGAAGTTTAAAAGCTTGGTTTCGATTTTGCAGGAAGTTGGAAATGTCCCTTATGTGTTGGAAAATGGATGCGGGAAATTTTCGAAGTCACCAAAAGAGATAGCCGATATTGTACGACAGTGGTTTGGCCCCAAAGCAGATGAACTCAAGTCCATGTCTGAAAATGCTTTAAGGCTGGCTAGGCCTGATGCAGTGTTCAAGATTGTCCATGATCTCCATCAGCTGGTTAGACAGAGAAATTTTGTACCACAATTTTCTTGTACAACTTAAGTCCCATTCGCAGAAGAAAAAATAAACAAATTTTCTTAAGATTTACCCCTTTTGATTATAACATCAGTTGATCTGTTTTCTCAGTTTGATACAATTTTCTGAGAAAGTTCGCACTTGTTTCTTATTATTACAATGATTCAAGCCATGAAACGCTGAGAGAGCATGAACATAGTAAAAGGAATTATCTTAAGAACAGTCATGGTGAGTTCTGCAGCAAATCTGCACACTACAATCTATTTTGTGATTCATGGATCATTGATATTGTTTCTTTACCATGTCCATTAACTGTATATCACTTCGGAGTCGTTGACATTTGTTGATGGTAAAATTGTGGTTGCAACGGCTGTAGGCTGTTCACTCCTGATTTGGGCAGAGCCGCGTTCAGTGGTTCTGATGGGCTGTAGGAGATGATCTGTGGGGTGTGAAGAGAGATCATGAGAAAGGAAGAGCAACACCACCCCTTCAACCATGTATGATCGCTTATATAGTGACTCTCAATGTTGATACTATAGCTAGAGTTATGACGGTTATTCGTATGTTGGTAGGATTGTAGATATTGTTGCCAGGTGTCAAATTTGATTTTGACAGATCACGTAGGTCGGTTAGTGGTCTTGTCAAAAGACCGTAGTCATCCAGACTCCAAAAGATATTGGATTCCAGAGACCTCTTTGTAGCTTCAGGGGCCAAGGGATTGTAATCATTGGGAAGATATCAGAGAAGCTTCCTGGCCTCGACAGACGGAGGATTAACAGTAGAGACGATGCTTGCGGAGTGGGTTTGAAGATAGCATAACGGTATTGAATTCCAGTAGACAGAATTGAAGAGTTTGGTTTGCCTCGGAAACCTGCCATATTAATGGCACATACTGTCATTGAATCAAGCTACTGCTGTACACTGTCCCAATCAGTGAAATACATCGATCAGAGAGCTTCCAATACTTGCCAAAATAAGTTATCATCCATGAAATTGATGCATCCACCATGCTAGTCTTTGTGCATCTAAACAAGTAAGAAGAAACTTGAAAATGATCTTAAATGTTTGCTTGGCCAAATGCAACTAAATGCGCAAGTTTTTACTCATCTACCGCCCTGATAGTAGCTCAAGGTCATTAATGCAGCTTTGAATATCAGTAAATTCATGGGATATGGCCACCAGTTGAGTGTTGAACACCTCTTTACTCTAAATGCATCAGTAAATGGCAATCAGCGCATCAATGGACACCAAAATTACTTTCCTCCTCGCTGTTTTGCTCTCTTTTTCCGCGTTGCCTTTGCGCGCTAGGCTCTCGTTCGACTTCTACGAGACATCATGCCCTGCTGCGGAGTTCATTGTTAGCAACACGGTCAGATCAGCTTCTTCTTCTGATCAAACCATCCCCGGGAAACTACTACGCCTGTTGTTCCATGACTGCTTCGTCGAGGTCGGCTCGGATGCCGGGTTAAAACACCTTTTATCACCATGAATGTTGCATCTTGCATGTGTTTGTTTATCTGAATTATGGTTGCTAGGAGTGTTCAGGGTTGTGATGCATCAGTACTATTACAAGGAAACGGAACCGAGCGAAGCGATCCAGCAAATACTTCTCTTGGAGTATTCTCGGTCATCGATTCGGCTAAACGGGAACTCGAAATCTTCTGCCCTGGAGCCGTTTCTTGTGCCAATATCGTTGCATTGGCTGCAAGAGATGCGGTTGTTTTGGTAAAAATCTCTAATCTTCTTCCTCCATATCTGCATGCAATCTCAAGTCCGAGGGATTTAAACATAAGGATCATGGAACAGGCAGGTGGACCTGCAATTCCGATTCTGACCGGAAGAAGAGACAGAAGAATATCGAATACTGCAAACGTCAAACCAAGTATTGCAGATACAAGTTTCACCATGAATGAGATGATCATGTTCTTCAAATCTAAAGGCTTATCTCTAGACGATCTTGTAACTCTATCAGGTATTTCATTCAAACAAAAGTCATCAATACGAGTAAAACTCGACTTGATTCAAACAATTGATTTTCTTTTCAATTTCAAGTTATTCAATTCGAGTCAACTTGAATTATTGAGTCAGTTTTTGAGTTTAAATTTAAAGTTTTGACTCAACTGAAAATTTAATTGAGTATTTTAATAGTTTTACAATTTCATCCATGATTTCTTTATTCTTTTAATTCATCGTTCATTTTAAGTTTATTTTTATTAAATTTAAACTACATGAGTCAAATATTTATATATCTTTAATTCCTTTTTTATAATGAATTTTTTATTTTTTAATTTAATCTTTCAATTTTGCATGATTTCTTCGTTTCTTCAATTCATCATTTATTTCAAGTCTCCTTTTATTAAATTTGAATCACAAGCTTTTAAACCATTGTAAAATATCTATGTATATTCAATTCCTCTTTTCTGTAACAAATCTTTTATTTTTTTTAATTCAGTCTTTCAACTTTGTATTATTTACTCATTTCTTCAATTCATCATTCATTTTAATTTCCTTTTTTAATCAAATTTGGATAGCATGCTCTCCTACCATCATACAACACATTTATACCCATATCAATAATTTATCCTAAAAATACCTACTTTGAATAATTATATTATAAATATATTTTATAATTTTAAACTATATTTGATTTATTAAATAACATTACAATATGAAAAAATGTCTATCTTATATGTTTATAAAAGTTGATAAATTGAAAATAATTCATATCATAATATTATAAATAATTACAATTAAATTTGTATAGAAACTCGAACAACTCAACACAAACTTTATGAACATGACTTGAAAAAATTCAAATAAAATTTAAGTCATAAAATACCACTCATCAATTTGATTTTTTTACTTAACTCATTTGATTGGATGCTTACCCTGACTATCCTTTTGGCTTTTAAAGGTGCTCATACAGAGAGGTATTAGTATGACTTTGGTGCGTCAGAGAGAAGTAGCGTCAAAATTTGGTTTTTGATAGTGACCACGAATTATTTAGGGTAAAGAATCAAGTGATTGTATTTTTTACTTAAGACATGATAAAAAAATGTCTAATCTTGTCAATTACAAAAGATATATAATTCTTGAAATATTAGAAAATATTTTAATTCAAATGATATTTAAAGAACTACAAAATAAAAATTTGTTCAGTGCTCATAACCTCAGAAGGTAGCATTTTATTTAATATGTTTGAATGTAAAGTGACTTACAAACCTTTAGATAAGATTTTGTACCCTGTACTTTAGTGCCCCACAATTCTCAGTTGCATGAGCGAGATTACACGATTAGAACCACTATCGTAGAGTCCTTCAAAGATTAACTTCATGTTTTCATAAGTGACGTATGCGAAAATGCTTAACTAAATGCAATGCAAATGTGAAAAAACAAAGATGTAAATGCGAAATGCAAAGATGGAAATGCAAAAGTGTTGATCCATATGATGATTTTCATAGAATAAGTTTCATCATAGATAAAAGTTCTAGCTATTCAAGATAGTCCGTTTTCACTTACAAGTTTTGCATGGATGTTTGGTCTAAAGTAGGTCGATATTTCGTATCAGAATTTCATCCTTGAAAAGTATGCCCCTCAAGTGCTTTATGACATATCTCAATTGATGCCCCTGCAATGTTGGAGTCATGCTTCACGTCTTGATGATTAAAGGTGGAATAGTTGTAGGTAAAACATTAAGGTTACACCATTGCTCTCATTAAGGGATTATCTCTCAAATTTTGGATGTCATTCTATCGGTCAGTTTGATGTATGATTTTCAAGCGAGCTTTATCTCATTCTTTGACCTTTCATTAGCCATCAACACATTCGTGTTATGCTATGACGATGATATAATACAAAAAGGTTAAAAATGACAAAAAAAAGGGAAAATTGAATTAGTACAGGAAAAATAATTGATAAAGATAAAATTTTTATTCAAAGATGAATATAAAACCTACCCTATCATGGTATCTACAAAACGTGATTTTATTAAAATAACAATCATACTCGGACATGCTTTCTACCCAACATGATTTATTTCAGGAAATTAGTCCTAACTGCATGGTATCTAGTTCGCATGCTTTCATTCAAAAATAAATTTATTCTATGTAGAAAAGAGTAAAGGTGCAGAGTTGTTCCTCTATTATGTACACCTATTAAGGTGACTACTATCAAACAGAATTTTGGCATTACTTCTAATGGTCAAGGGTTCATTATACGCATGGCTTCGATCCTAGAAAAAAGATACTCAAAATGTCCTTGTCAATGCCCCCTTGGGCTATCAAACCCTCAATCTTCATCCATTATAGGCTTAAGCAGATCGAGTTCAATTCGAGGGAGCACATTCCTTATGTCTAACTCGAAGGGTTGCTCACGAAGATCATAAGGGCATGTACTCCGAGAGTGATTCACTATCCTATCTGGAGAGCTACTCATGAAGGGACTAGCAAATCACTCCCACTTAGTGGGATATAGCTCGGGTATAAATCTTATGACATGTAAATGCACGTGATGTGTGTGAGAAGAAACTCACAAACCTTTTGACAAACATAAAAAATCAAGACTCAATTTCGTAAACATTAACAAGTCTAAAATCAGTGAACTCAAAAATCAATACAACTATTTACAAGAGTAAAAAATGATTCATGATTATGAAAATTGAAATTAAAAGGATCTTAATTCAAGTAATAGTCCAAATTTGAAAAAATTCAACTACTCAGGCAACATATAACCGAACACGGTTTAACTCTTTAGTGTCTCCCCAGTAGAGTTGTCAAGTTGTCATAACCATTTTTTTAGACTCTTTAGTGTCTCCCCAGTAGAGTCGCCAACTATTTTTTTAATGAATTTTGAATATAGTGAATTTCTTTATAAAATACTTTACTCGGTAAAGGTGATTTAGTTTACTCGGTTTTATTTAAGAATGATGTCCCCTTACTATGTGAATTAATATAAATTGAAATTCAGTTATGTTGGACATAATTTCATTAACCCAAGATGCAAAATAACATTGTCTTTGATTCTTTTGGAAAACGAGAAAACAAATACAATGATTCATGAATGCATCAATAATAAATTATATGTACAAAATAGATGAAATATCAAATATAACATAACAAAAAATAATAAATAATAATAAAAGACACACTCAATATTTATATTTATTAAAACATAAAATTTGGTGGGATATCTTTTCACGCGTGTTTAAACTCTTCAAACAAAGGCAATCCAGATTTTTGAATGTTTTCCCATATATAACTCTTTGTTCGAGATGTTACCTTAAAATAGAATACAATTTATTTTCATGTTTATGTAACTTTAAAAAAACATAGAATACAAACAAATATTAAATAATAATAAAATATCAATTTTATTCAAATAACTCTCGGAGGGGCACTCCAGATTTTTAAAGGTCTTCCGTAGGTTAATCTCATTAAAAAGGTAGTGCCTTAATTTAAAATTGAATAATAGTACTATTAGCACCCAAATATACACAACGATTATGAAACAAATATGTTAAAATATAAATTAATTTTAATATATATATAGAGGGATGCATAGATATTTTAAATAAAAGATAAATTAAAACATATAAAGAAAATGATTAAATAAAAATATATATGTACATATAAATAAGGGTTTCGAAATATTAAAGGAGTATATATATATATATATATATATGGTACATATTATAAGATATAAATGGGTATGAAAATGGAGTTTAAAAAGAATATTCATAATGTAAGTAATTAATTAAAATATAATGAAATTTTTAAACCACAACATGTATGAATATATTGTATATAGACGTATACATAACGGGAAATACAAATAAAATTGGTCATATCACATACATGGGCATACGATATAATATATATAAGAATAGTAAACATTATCTAAGGACCAAATCAAACAGAATAAAAATGACAAGGGCTAATGGTGTAATAGAACCATAAAAATAAACTAGAACGTGGATCAAAATCGAACTAAAGGAGAATCTTAAACCTAAAGTAAAAAAAGACGTTAAACCACCTAAAACAAACATGGAGGACTAAAAATGAACTAATCAGAAACCTACTTACCTAAACATAAATAAACTAAAATGAAATGACTAAACAATAAATATATAAAATCATGTAGGGATGAAAAGGAAGCATAAGATAAATATAAGGCTCCAATCAAGAGAAATAAATTTCATTAAATGATTGGAACAGAGAGTTACAAGAGTCGAGGGACCTTTCGTGCGAATATCCCATGTGTTAAAAAACATGTTGCCTTAAGCCCTTTTTACGGCACTTTTACTTGGCTTGGATATAAGCCAAATAATGGGCTTCTGGAATCCCATTATCTTAGTTTCTTCTGCCGCCGTTCTCTCACACAAGCAAAGGGTTATCACCTTGGTCATCTTCCAAGGGAATGGATTAGCGTCGACTCGAATTCTTGCTCTAATGGAAAGATCAACGAGGTCTTGACGAGAAAAAAGGTGGCTTATTTCTTCTTTCATTAACCCATTTCTCTCTTCTTTTTGTGTGTTTGAATCGTTATTCCCCCTTTCTTTTCTCGATTTTTGCCTGTTATATGATAGTTGTTTGGTGAGTGTTGCTCGGTGGGTATGGGTTGGTGAAGAAAATATTAATTCTTGGATTTTCGGGATTTTCTAATTTGATTTTGTTTTTTTTTTGGGTTGATTTCACTGTATACAAGATGGTGATGTTGTGGTGGTTAAACGACTGTCAATAACAGTAACAACATCGGAATCAACGCAAACGGCGACTGCAACGGTGAGAGCTGGTGGAAACTCTAGGGTTTCAAAACCTAATTGTTTTTTGGTCACTTGGCTTCTTATTGGGGTTGTTGTAATAGGTATGTAAAATTTGAGTTGGATTTGTAATTGTAACATGCAAAATAAAAAATAAAATAATTTAAAATATAATAATAATAATAAATATTAGTATTAAACACCATATAAAAATGTTATCAACAAAGACAAATGATTTGATTGAAACACTTAAATAGTTAAGTAATTTTATTGATAAAATTTTAAAATTGATAATCTAAATGAAAAAACAATAATTAAATGGCTAGAATAGTTTACTTTTCTTTTCAAACTTATTTACATTGATTTAGCTTATTTATAAGGGTAAACTACATAAATGACCACTCAAGACTCAACTATGGTGGTTGGTCTCAAAATGACCACCTAATTATAGTGGATAGTCTTGAAATGACTATCATTTTTAAATTTGTATCAATATGACTATTATAATATTTAAGTAGTTTCAATATAGACACTTTCTGTAATACTTTAAATTTCGGGTTAGTAGTTTCAGTTTTATTCGAGAGGTTTATGGGCCCTGTGGATTTTATAATTTAAGTTGTTCGGCTTAATTGGGTTGGAATTGGACTCAATTAACCATAAAAATGAGATTTTTTTATTAAAGGAAAGATGTGGGATGACTAAAAGTGTAATTATCACATTTTTAAAAGATAGAGACTTTTATCTCTTTCATCTCTGCCTTCTCTCCATTTTCTTTCTCCATTCTTTCATTTCTCTTCCAAGTGTCATAGCTTAAGGTGAGTCTTTTATACCATTTCGTACATCTTTTAAGCTCCATTTTCATTCCTAAACCCACCATCAACATCATTTTAATGTTTGAAAACCTTGGGGTCCTTTGGTTGCAAGAAAAGTGGGTTGTTTGTCATCAAGGTCTTGGTGGAGAGTGATTTCTAGCTAAATGAGCTTCATTTCGGGATTCAAACATCAAGGTAGTGTATTTCTAATCCTTTGGAGTGTTAAGGCTTCCATAAATATGATGAATTGCTAAGATTTGAGTAGTTTAGCATTTTAGGGTTTAAACTTGATTTCTTGATTAAATGATGTTTTAGATGTAAATAAGGTTCTTTTTATGCCATTTTATAACCTTAAAAAACCCCCTAAGCTTTAGCACATGATTAGGAACCAAACTAAGACCATTGAGATGTTTTTTGGGTGTTTACCGAGCCTAAGTAAGACATTTCTGGGTTTGAGTATCAATATTGGATGAACAATATCAATACTAGATGCATTGGGATGAAATCTGGGCAATTTTAACAGGGATTATCGATTCCGAAGGGAGGAGTATCGATACCAATCCCTTAGTATCGATACTGAGGGTTGTAGTATCGATATCGGATGCTCCGTATCGAAACCAGATGCTTGGTCTCGAGACCTCTAGTCTTCATACCGAAGGGATGCTCCGTATCGAGACCAGATGCTTGGTCTCGAGACCTCTAGTCTTCATACCGAAGGACTGGTCTACATACGGAAGGCTTAATATCAATACCTAAAGTGTTTGAGTGACTTCAAGATGTCAAATACACTCAAGAGTGAGGAGTTTAATACCAGTTGAGATTGAACATCTAGCATGGGTGCGAGAGGTTACTAAAATGCCATTAGGAGCCAAATTTACCAAATTACCTTTATAGACCTTGTATGAATACTAAGAATAAAGTATTATTGCAGAGGGTGTATTGAAAAGCGGTATAACGAGATAATCATATTTCAAAATAACGAGGTTGTGTATAGCAAGAATGTCAGCGAATGGTTAACGTACAGATGTCCCTCCAATTCGACGGTAAATTGAAGGAAAACGTGGTAAGAGCGATTAGAGTATCACTACCCAGTAATGAATCTGAGTCAAGTATCGGGCCAGGTAGTATCATAACTAGTAAACAACATATACAATAATTGTAACACCAATCTCTCGTATACCCTTCCGTACACGAGATACAAATGTCACATCACTTTATAAAACTTTTTGTCATTTGAAAACCCGTAAAATTTTGTTTCAATTTGAACAACCACAAAATATGATATTCATAGAATCAACATACTAAAACTATCACTTAAGTACATTACAAAATATTTACCATAGTTTAATTATATGCCAACTAAGTTATCAAAATGAATAAGATTGTCATAATATTACTGATGAGTCAACCCTTAATTGATGTAAGCTGCTGCTACTGTTGCACTCCTTACACAACTAATCTTTGCCTTTACCTACGCGTGAAATCAACACACGTTAAGTATTTACTTAGTGAGATATAATACTATAAAGATATTACAATTATAATACAGTGTCTTATAAATACTTAATGAAGAATTAAATTGCATCATTTATAAGGACCAATTAAGCCATTCTCAGTTAAACCATAATTCTTTCATGCTATCATGGAAATTATTCCTAGTATGCCCATAATACCTATCCTTCTGTATATTTTCCCCTTATTCTTTATTTTCCATGTGTACATTAATTATGAAAGTACTATACATGTATTGCACCAAGGTGCCACTTGATCATGTATCTTTTATAATCATTATGTCGGCACCTTAAATACTGTTAATACACCATTTTGTATTTTTATTTGGGCATCCTTTCATACCCATTATGTTCTATTTACGTTTTCCTTTATAACATCTATTCATACTAGTTATGCATTGTTGTACATTATCTATATATATTTATATCATCCCTTTATATCACTTACGCACCATTCCTATCACAATACATTATAATTATTTTATATTTTACCCAAAGGTATTTAACCTTTTATCTAACTTGCATATTTGACACTTTTCTGTAAAATGCACAACTAGTCCATTATTCTTTTACTCAACGACATTTGACCGTTCATCTAACTGACATAATTGACACCTTTCTGTCAAATGCATAGTTAGGCTTCAAAGGCACTTAGCCTTTCATCTAACTGGCATAAATGACATCTTTCTGTCAAATGCACAATTAGGCTTCAAAGTCACTTAGCCTTTCATCTAATTGGCATAAATGACACCTTTCTGTCAAATGCACAGTTAGGCTTCAAAGTCACTTAGCCTTTCATCTAATTGGCATAAATGACACCTTTCTGTCAAATGCACAGTTAGGCCTCAAAGGCACTTAGACTTTCATCTAACTGGCATAAATGATACCTTTCTGTCAATAAATACTATATGATTTACATCTGTAGTGCTAATACCATCATTTCTCAACCATTTCTATAATCTATTTGGTTTGCATACCCATTACCAATATAAAGATTCATTTCCTTATTATAAAGTTCTCATGTTTATACAGATATTTCCCATATGGAAATTCATACACTTAATATGAATATCTTAACGGTTTGCACACAAAGTGCCCAATACGAAAATTCATACACTTAGTATGAATTTTTTAACTTTTTGCACATGAAGTGCCCAATATGGAAATTCATACACTTAGTATGAATTTCTTAACTTTTTGCACACAAAGTGCCCAATATGGATATTCATACACTTAGTATGAATTTCTTAACTTTTTGCACACGAAGTGCCCAATACGGAAATTCATACACTTAGTATGAATTTCTTAACTTTTTGCACACGAAGTGCCCAATACGGAAATTAATACACTTAGTATGAATTTCTTAACATTTTTGCAAACGAAGTGCCCAAAACGGAAATTCATACACTTAGTATGAATTTCTTAACTTTTTGCACATGAAGTGCCCAATACAGAAATTCATACACTTAGTATGAGTTTCTTAACATTTTTGCACACGAAGTGCTCAATACGGAAATTCATACACTTAGTATGAATTTCTTAACATTTTTGCACACTTAGTGTCATTTGGTAATCGTCATACATTCTATGGTTTATACCTATAGTGCCCATGCAATAATCCCATTACCAATACGACAGTTCACCTTCTTATTATGAACTTATGACTATTTCACATTTCAAGAGATTCTTTTAATTCAATTCTACAAATAAACATCAATAACTATTCATATATCAACATATCATTTAAGAACACATTTTCTTAAATCTCTAATATTTCCTCCATTTCATAGTTTTGATCCCCTTTAATCCTTCCTTAAGCTTATATTATACTCAATGCTTTAAAAGACACCAAAAAATGAATGAACAAACTAGTAAATTGAAAACTCACCTTTAGCTATGGAGGAGAGCTTTTCCACGAGAAGAGAAAGAAGAAAAAGAGGATAACTTTTGGTAACCTATTTTCCCCTTTCCCCCCTTTTACTTAATCTTATTAAAATAAATTTTAAATTTATTTTCCCTTTAAAAAACCAAAATGCCCTCATAATCATCTATTGCTACAATTTAGTCTAAACCACTATTTCAAATCATTATCAACTTTTATCAATTTGTTAATTAAATCATCAGATTTTAAATTCTTTCAATAAAGTCCTCGATTCCATTTTTGGGGTATTACAATAATCATCGAAATACAACGAAACACGTAAAGACAGAGAACACCTAAACCTTCCTCAAGTAATGAATAATCGGGATAAAGCAACTTAATAAACCAAGAACATTAACAAACTAATAAACCTTCGTATAATGTTCTAGATGAAATAGCAGCTAGTGAGGGGTTGACCTCACTTTTGTGTGTCAAGCTATACTAGGGTATAATTAGACTACCTTAGTTACCCTAGAGGGCTTTCTCAGTACGCAAGGCACTTTAGTAGCTAACTAGGACGCTAGGCCTAAATATTCACGATGAGTGGGTTAACGATGTCAGTGTTGTGTGGCCTTTGGGCCTTAGATATACATATATAGTTGCATCAGTCCAGTATAACAAATATCCTTAAAGCTTGGTTTGATGGTTGTCTTCATACTGAAGGACTGATGAACATATAAATGTCCCTCCAATTTGAGAGAGAATTGAGGGAAATCATAGTAAGAACGATTAGAGTATCGCTACCCAGTAATGAACATAAGTCAAGTATTTGGCTTGT